AGCTTTTGTGGGTTCTCGCTGACATAAGGAATCTTATTTGGGCACCCGGGTGCCCAATCTTATTTGGGCACCCGGGTGCCCACCTATTGCTCGCCCCGAATGTGCAGCCTGACTAAGCAGGGTAGTCACTGGTCTGCCTGCCAATCACTTATAACACCGCCCCTCAGGCTCACAATGAGGCCATCAAGACCTCCAAAAGCAGTGTTTATACTCAAATCCATGGTGTTTCCGTTGCTTATTCGTTCTTTATTAATGCTGTGTAGCGAAGAAGAGGTTTAGTGAGGCCATTAGCGGCCATGTTAGTTGTGCCGATCTGGCTGATCGTGAAGGTGCCCTTTTGGGTCATTGCGATGATCCATTTGAACCTGATATCGATGTGCCTCGTTCGTGCCGCCTGTGAAGAATTGAGGATAGCATGCTTGGCGTTCTGGCTGTTAGTGTGCAATATTATCGGGGTCACCTGCTGAGCCGAGCCGAGGTCGTGAAGCATATCACGAACCCAGATAGCAGCCTGGCCGGCTAGGGTTAGGTTGATGAATTCAGCCTCCGTTGATGAAAATGTCACCAGACTCTGTTTTTTTATTATTTCTATATAACAGGGCCATTTGCAAGGAATACCACAAAACCTGCCGTGGAGATACGGTCATAGGGATCGTCTGCGAAGGAGGCATCCGCGAACACGCGAAGCTTCAAGTCTTAGGGTTCATACTTGCCTCCAAGGGTGATACCGATCTTCTTCGTTCCGTTAAGGTATCGTAATAAGTGCTTGAAGACTTTTCCGTGAATTTCCTTGGGGCTATTGTTAGCTTTACATAGCTTGTTTACCGTGTACGCGATATTAGGCCGGGTACCGATAGACAGCCAATTCAGACTGCCGGTGCGTTTAAGCCACTGTTTCGTCTGCATGATGTCTGTCAGTGACTTCTAGTTAGATGGAAGGTTGGCCTTTGGCGGCTAGGGAGTCTGTGTAGTGTGTATTCCGGGGTTAGCGAACTTCGCGATCAATCCCTCGGTGTAGGTGGTCTGATGGATAAAGATGGTGCGTTTGTTCCTGTCACGGATTAGTTGAAGGCTAAGGAACTGCTTGACCTCGCCGATGCGCTTTATGTTGATAATGCCTTCCAAGGCCACGAGGACTTCCTCGATAAGTGACTTGCGAGGGGCCGCGATGATCATGTCGTTAACGTAAATAAGAAGCTTCGCTCTGTCACCGCGGATGAAGATACATAACTCTGTGTTAAGGGCCTTAAACCCTAATTTCTTGAGTTCTTTAGTGAGGCATTCGAACCACCATAAAGGAGCCTCCCGTAGTCCGTAGATAGCTTGGTTAACTCGGAGGACCCGGTCTGTGCTGTCTAAGTGCCTCTGTGGTTGTTTAATAAATATAGGCCGCTTGGCCTCGGCGTGGATAATAAGGGACCCGCCTATGACTAGCCGTACGTGGGAAAATTTACTGCTGCTCTTGTTTATTATCTAATTATGATAGCTCTCGGTCTCCCATTAGCTAATGAGTGTTGCTATTAATAAGTCGCGCTGGTAACTGCGCGGAATAATGTTTAGATATTCATCGGGGCAGAGAGGTCTACGGGCCTTTGCATAGCTGCTGCAGAGGCGCGATGCTTAATGTGAAGGGATGATCGCGAGATTATGAAACCGGTATTATGGTGCTGATCGATGCTGAGTTGGCTTAGGGTAGATAGGCCAGAATTAATTTGATTAGTCGCGCTGAACAAAATTAGGTCAATTGCATTTATGTAGAAAATTGCTTGGTAGCTGGGGTGATGGATGGCAATTGATCATGGCGAAGCGAAACCTCCACCTGTGGTTTTTGCGGCGTTATCGGGAGGCTAACGTACTGAACGTCATAAACAAAGAAGCAAGAATGGGGTCATGAGTAGGTTACATAGGCGTACCATCTGCTTGGACTTATCGAGTGATGTCACTGATCGCTTCACGAGCTTGCTACCCCCGCAATTGATTCACCTTGGTCGCCTACCTCACAGCATGACCCTACAGCTATCAACATGATTATGTGTATGTAGGTCCATAGAGTCCTGAGTTATCGAAACAGGTGATGCTGCCAGGGTTTTGATTTTTCTTAAGCACTAACCTACTCGCCGTGCAGGTGAAAGCGGAGGCGGAATATCAGCATCACGGGGCCATGTACAGGAACGCACTTACTGTGGCTCATGCTGGCCTCCCAGTGGCAGCCAAACTCATTTTCATGAGGACATCCACGCTGTTACGGCCGACGAAAGGTGTGTTAGAGCCGTGGGAATAGAGCTTGCCCCATGCGCCGTTAGTGGACACGGAGGCAGATGGCAAGGCAGAGAGGTATATGTACTTGCGCAAGCTCTTTCGACTAGATTATCGCCCGATGCCAGCGTGAGCATGAGAATCGACGCAGTTCCCTCGGAAAGTATCATGGATATAGAATGCGCCCGATTCCGCTTTCGCGGATCTATAATAGAGACCTGCTGGTGCTCCAAAGCTATGATCAAAGATATAGTCGCTGTATTTCAATTGCGAGGCCGCAAACTCTATGGGATTCTGGCGGAGCCACAATCGCCTCTCCTCCGCGACTGGGCCCGCACTGAAAATCTTCTATGGGCCCATGACGATGGTTCTTCGTTGCACATGCTGCAAAGCGAGCATCAGGTCCCATTGCTCAACGGTCCCCACTGGCCTGATTGCGTAGAAAGAATACTGGCCATCCACTCTTTTCCCGATGGACAAGTGTGTATCGGAGTCAAGTGGAAGAATGATGATGTTCCTACCTGGGAAAGGGAGGAGAATCTTCTAGCATTGCTCGACTCGACGGCGGAATGTCTGCCTGCCGTCCTCCAACGACAGCTCATCGACCCATTATAACATGAACGACACCGTGGTCTGGTATCCTGCTGGCGCGATACAGATGTGCGAGTCTCAGTACGCTGCGTCATCTCTGCCTTGCAACAAGGCAGCGTGGCCCCGGAATGATGATACGCCTACATGGACAAACCCATACCTGCATTCGAGGCGATACTCCTGGGGCCACGTCTGGGTAACTCAAGCCATGGATCATCCCCGTCACCCTTGGCACAATGACAATGTTTGGGGGCTGGTGAAGGTCATATGAATTAGTCCAAAGACGGTGCCCGAAGGCTGTCACACCGGACTCGGCGTGGTAGCTTGAGCCACCGGGTCTTACCCGCACGGCGGACTGAGATAATTCAATGCACGACTATCCTTAGAAAGGTCGGACAAACCGTTCCGATATAAGCTTTGGCCACATGTCAAAGCGCTAGTGAGCACCCTTTCGCCATCTTACGACTGATTATCCATGTGGCTTGCGGGATAGCCTCATTCACGCTTAGTGCTGGTTAAGAGTATGTGAAAGGCTGAGGAGTGCTTGCTTGAGGGCGAAGGGGTGGACTCTCCATTCGAGAGTGAGCCATCATCTGCAGCAGGGGGGGACTCCGAAAACAGCCGTGGTCATAGCCAACATAAAAAGTGAAACGACATTACTAAAATACACAATCACGGGATCTTCCCTAGGTGGGTCTACTCGCAGTAAATCAAAGGCACATGCCACCCAAGTTTGGAAGTCTTATTTACTTTGGAGAACGTATTATGTATTTCGCAGAGTAGTCGTCTTGAATTAACGCCGTCCGCATCTAAAGTCCGCGAAACGAGACACATTACATGAGGCCGGGCCGCCACCATCCAGGGAAGCGCTCCGTCTAGGTGGCCCGGAGAAAACGACAATGGCTGTTGATCTCGATGACGTATAGAAACCACCATCCCGCTCATCACTCAGCCAGCTTCGTGTTCCTGGTTGTATCCTCACCGTGACCTCCCAACGATGTGATTCGGACTATGGACAATGTTTCCCTGACTCTCTCCCCGTTGCGTCTTCCATGGCACATTCAAGGGTCTAGACCACCATTTTAAGACGTTCGGCTTGATTACACGGAGCGTGGTACGACGCATATTCAGCCCGGAGGAGGCCGCCAAAATCATGGACTGTCGGGTAGTCCTAGCCAGTCGACAAATCTCTCTTCGCCCCTCTTGACAAACCTGAGAGCAACACCATCACCCCGCAACTTGAGCGTCAGCAGCGAGCTCGCCTTCCTGATAGTCGCGTCGCGCTTGTCAACTGCTCTTTGGTAGAGATCCCTCCGCTGCTGCCTGTCCATTCTTTCTACCTCTTCATCGGTAGCCCACTCATCGACGGCTAGCTCCACGCTGTATTCGCGGAAGAGGACCGTCAGGGCGGCCACGACCTCGGCCTGCGCGATGCGGCGACCGAGGCAGGCTCGAGCGCCGACACTGAACGGGATGTAAGCGCCTCTTTCGGGCTGAAACAACCAGGGACCTGCTTCACGCCCCTTGCAACTGCCATGGCCCTCGGGCTGACCAGCGAGGGCGTCAAGCTTCTCGTCGCTCGTGCGGAGCCAACGCTCAGGGACGTAGTCTAGTAGGTCATGCTGACTAGGGCGCAAGCGGCTCGGCTCGGTAGGCCAGTGCTTGGGGTTCATATGGACGCCTGCAGCTGATAGCGTTATAGCAGTACCGGCTGGAACGCTGCAGACCTCCCCGTCCACCACAAGGGGCTGATCTCGGTCCGGTGTCGCGACTTTGGGTATCTCGATGACTGGAGGGAGAACGCGGAGAGTCTCGTTCATACAGGCACCGACCATGCTTCCCATTAGAGGCTGGAAGTACCCTTCATAGTCCAGGTCCTCCACTTTCTTGTCACGTAGCAGCTCGTCTAGCTCCCTGTGGAGTCGACGTTGCGAGGCGGCGCAGCTGGCCATATGGATGAGGGTAAAGTGGATTGCGTTCGCGGTCGTCTCGTGGCCGGCCACAATCATGACGAAAGCATTGCCTCGAATCTCTTCACGGGTTCGAACAGTGCCGGGTTCTGCCTCGCGTGGGGGGCTGCTAGTGGAGTCGACATGGCAGAACGACCGTACCAGCTGGCCCATGATGTCCATGCCCCCGTCGGTGCGCTCGCCCTTTGAGGTGTCCACGATCTTGGCCTCCATCAACTCGTTGATGAATTGTTCATATTGTTGACGCGACCGCACAGCCTCGCGGACCCCCTCGTAAGGGATAAGCCCTGGCGAGTGATCAGCGGTGGTCCGATATTCACGGGATAGTGACTCTTACGTAAGAGCCACGAGGGTACGAGAAGAAGCGTCAGGGCGTTCTCCAACAAGGTCTCTATTGCGGTGACAAAGCTCATCTTATATCCCTCGGGTGGCTCGACGCTGCCGTACTTGGCACTCATGGCGTTGTCCTCGGGCATCGTCTCCTGCGGCCAGGGCAGCCTGAGCCCGAAGCCCACGTATCCAATGATGTTAAGCGCCAATCGCATGGTGTCGCGCTCGACTGTGCGAAGCGTGGCACCAGGACCATTGGTGATCTCCCAGAATCGGATCAGACCGAGGCTTTGACGGATGCTTTCTGCGAAGGCGAGAGCGATGTTGCGCTCGCTGAACGAGGCTGCGGTGGCTCTGCGATGACGGCGCCAAAGCAACCCCTCAGAAGTGACGACGTTGTCACCAAACTGCGACAGAATACCATATAATGCCGTGTGCTTGGGGAAATGGTCCCTCCTGGTGGTGATGGCACTGATGGCGCTCGCCTCCGCGGTGAACATGTGCAAGCCGAAGGGATGGACGAGGACGAAAGTGTCCCCATACTTGTCGAAGTGATCATAACGCCATTTCCAGGAGAAATCGGCTGTCAGGGGTCCATGGTTCGGGTGAGCTAAGAAGAGCGAGCGGTTTGAGATGGTGGAATACTCACGGCAGCCAGGCTTCCCATGAGGACTGGGGGAGCAGCTTTATCAAGGGTATCCAGATCCTGTGCGTTATCTTCCAAGGGATCCACTGCGGCGAGCAAGCTGGACCGTGTCAGTGTATGGGTACGCTTCCGCTCGTCTAGACGATTGCATACGCGAGAGATAGCATTGGATGCCGCTCGCCTTGGCTCTCTGCCAGTGGCGCCTCCAGCTGGTCAAAGCATACAAAAGCCACACGGCCACCAGGCCAGCCAGACCAAGCAAGATTGAGGGCATTGTGTTGTCTCCTTTCCTTAGAAAGTCTATGGAGCACCAGAGATTATGACAGTAGGTGCAAGGGGGAAGACGGTTCACCGGCCGGCAGGTCGATTGGATTTGTACTGAGTCCATGGGCGGACCTGTGGTGCCGGCCCAGCAACAAGCACAGCAGCCAATTCCGGCTGATGCTATTGAATCCTCATCCAGCGTGCGAGAACAGATCGCAGAAATGACTCAGTCGCAACCGTCCGAAACAGGCCGTTCATAAAGTATGATTTGATGACCCAGCTGAGGGATGTGAGGATTCTTGACGACCCACCTTGCTTCGCGAGCCACGTGCTCGACCTGTCGAACGGCAAGGCAGGACGTTTACAGGGCGGCTGTCGGTAGCACAGGGCATTGAGTGCCCTTGAGTTGCTCTGCCGCAGTATCATAAGGAGTTGGGAGTGCGCGGCGGGAATGCGATACAGGTTGCGCCTCTGGAGCGTAAGGGTGGATGGAAGTCAATGAACAGGCACGCTCAATATGCTCTGGTCTTGTTCACTACCAGTGTATTCGCCATTCTTCTCCCCCCGCTTGATGCCGCATGATTCGCTCGGCCATGCCTGTATTTTCTTCCCTACACGTAGTCCCGACGCAGGCTAGGGCCATGTCTATTCCTGCTACCGCTATGAGAACGTCCCGACCCGCTTTCAAGTGAAGCTAGAGGCTTTAGGACTTCGCGTTCCACCCCGGGCACCATCAAGACAGTGAGTGCCAAAGGGGGCAGTGAAGGCCTCGTTGGGCTTACCGCCCTCTTGAGTTCCACGTCGAATAGGACCATAGATTTTGACTATGAGCATTTAGCATGGCAGAATGTGCATCTTTGGATAGTGTACGTGATCTCAAGCGTGCAAACCCCGGAATAATTCAGTACCAACCCTTGCGTCAACACTCAACGGCTAACCCACCACCGTCGTTGTGCCTCGATGATCGTCGTGGATAGCTGCACCAGAGTACCACGGCGAAAGACTTTCATGCGCATGGGCCCAGTGTCCGTTACTTCAGTGGCTCTAGTAGACTTTTATGTAGCGCTGCTAGGGTCTCTTCCGAAGTGGCCGCCCCTTGATTGCCGGCGGTTGGGACGATTTTTGGATTCCTACTTCTGATCAGAAATGCAGGGCCAACCGCAGTGAGTGACCTATGTTGACTTACCAAACCTCCAGCCACACCATAAGTTCTCCAAGTGATTTGTGCATGGCCACTTGCGGAGTTAGGGATCATGGTACTGTATGTTTCACTCTAGGGATGCTCGGATTCGAGCCCCCGAATGAAGCTGCCTTGGACCTATGTTTTTTTCCGTCATCGGCGCATTTCGAGACGGTGGCGCTACCGCTCCCCGTCTAATCACGATCCTAAGGTATATAACTAGCTGCCTCGCTGCTGCAGCCTGATCGGACAAGGACGCTCCGTCATACCCAGTCCACGCCCCAGGCATCTACTACACTCGTCGCCATGGATGTGTCGCAGCAGCAAAGCAGAAATGACATGCAGAGAGCGAGTCACGACCCTATGCAACGTGCGAGGGATCTGATGGCGTACGCTGAAGCTCTGGATACCCAGAACTTTCAGCTGGAGCGACAAGTACGAGACCTTCGCCTGCGATGTCAGCATGTTTCCTCAGCACAAGTCATGTATACGAATCTGGCTAGTATGCAGCAGAGCTTACTACATTCACTCACAGCCGGAGCTCACGCTCGTCGTACGCAGCGGTCACCAGCACACGGTGACTGATGTCCAAGCCATCGATAGCCATCCGAGAACGGTTTGCCAGTTCCAGGACGCCGCACAGGGTGCTTCCATACGGGTGTACGACAGACCAAACCCTTGCCATGGTGTTGCAGCGGGGATCTTCCGCGGACAAGACAGGGTTCTGGAGCTACCGCGACATGTTGATGTGGAGCGGTCCGTTCAGGGACTCTGGTACCATCGGTTCGGTCAATGCTAAAAGGGACTGCGGTGCACCGGAACCAGCAGTCTCCAAACTGCGCCAGTGATCCAGAACCTGCTCAGGAATTACGGGCGGCTTCGAAATAATTCGAAGAAGCTGTGCAAGTTTTGCGGCGATCGGATTGCGGTGGGGCAGCATCATAGGACCCTAGTTCTATCGCAAAGATTCGTATAGCCGCTCAGCTTTCAATGGCAGTGCCTACGCCGAATGACTACTCTTCAATGAACGGTCTCTGCAACTGCTTTATTAGAGAAATACCCTTACAGACCAAGTTCAGTGCGAATACGCTGCGCTGGGATTGAGGTGTACATAGCGTCCCACTCGATCCGATCCAATTTTTGATTAGTTCCTACCATTTCCTGCGGTAGATGTGTTCATCTCGAGTAGACTAGCTGACTCGTTCTTCGATAAGCCGGCGTACCATATACCATGCTCGTAGCCAATTGAGGCGCCAGGTAAACAAGTCGGGGGAGACACTAACACAAGGTAGCTCAGCTGGACCTTGGAAAGAGCCAAGCCACAACCACTTGGTCACCGATTCCCAGCACTTATACTGGACGCATGCACTGTCTAAACGGAGTTCAAAAGAGCCAGGCACATCAATTCATCCGGCCGCGACCATCGAGGGAAGGGACATTGACCGTGAACCCAGGGCACCCCAACTGCACAGGAAACAAAGGAATTCGAAGAGCCGATCGGCACGGATAGGCGATGGCCAAACCACACTAGGGTTGGGCAACAGACGTCGAGCAAACTAGGTGTGGTACGCCGTTCTTCTATCAATATCACCACAGCAAGTCTACGGGGATTCCTACGGATACGAAATGTTCTCTAGCTCAGTCTTCAGGCGACCGTGGACTCTGATATGACCAGGCACATCGGCGATCATGGCGACAGGCCTCTCGTGTGACGAGGGCTTTCTCTGTATTTCTCTTGAAAGTTCCTCAGTTCGAACGAAATATGGTCCTCCCGGATCAACAAATGCCACTCTAGAAGGCGAATGAGTTGTCTTTCTGCCGAATTCACCTCCTCCTGCGGCAACCAAAACCATGAATTGCCAACCGACATCAAGGAGACCCTGCACCACCTTCCGTTCTGGCAAGCGCCGTCATCGAGCGTCTTTGCGGCTACTATAAGAGCAGCCAAGAAAAGCTGATGCTGTGTCATGGGCATGGGGCATTCTGTTGGCACGTGAGACTCGATGAGACGGGACATGTATACGAGCGTGGACATCAGGACCCAGAAGTCTGTTCTCGATTCTCGCATGACATGAGTGATGAAGTCTTCGAGACTAGGTTGCTCATGGTCAAAGTTCACTTTACGAACTGTGCTGAGCTAGGGACGCATATTAGCATCCGCGAATACGTCCGCAGCCTCGACTCACTGCCTGACGCGTGGCTTTGGCAACATGGGATACCAGCTCACGGCTTAGGTGGAGCTCCACGTGCTCCGAGTGCAGATTCTCCAACATGAATAGCCTGCGCATCTTTCAGTGTTCTCGCACTATTCGAGGTATGCCGATGTTGCGTTAGGGTGTTGAAAGTAACGACTCGCCAGGAAGACTCTTTAAATCTTGAAGGAGCAAGAGAAGAGTGTCTTCTTTCCAGGAGCGTACAAGCTTCGGCGAGCGTATCCAAAGTTGCACGTTTGACACGGGTGCCGAATCTCGAGAGGCCATTTTCACACCTTGGGCATCAAGCTGACCACTGCAAGCCATCACGCCTCGAGTGTTTGTTGTTCAAAAATTACGCGTGGGAGACTCTGCGCGTGCCTCGGGTCAGGTTGTTCGGGTCTTTCGTGGAAATTGGTCGGATTCGAGTGAGAGAGGCAAAGGCTCAACCTACGCACATACTCGTGTCAGCCAATTTCGACTCAGCGCCTGGGTACCGCGGACCGATGTGAAACATACCGCCAACATCAGCGGTTGGTGTCGCTGGCATCTTCACGACACGGACTCTCCGAGCATCAACGCCCCAAAGCACTGCGAATATCTCCAGAAACGGCGCGAGGCATCAGATGTGAATTTCGTCCGCCCAAAGCTACCCAATCTTGAAGCTGGCTTCATCAAGCCTTCAACAAGGCTAATCTTCAATTGCCCAGGCCTAGCAGCCAAGACGCTTCCGGGCGTAGCTGTACCCTGCCCAAGTCTTCCTCGAAAGGCTGGCCTGTCCTGGCACACCGCCATGCTCGACTGCGTAGACAAGAGTCAGGGCGCATTGTGCATTGTCTCAAGATCACCGATCACTCTTCGCGGACTCGCAGGGATATGTCTTCCTGTCCAAATCCAAAATTGGAAGCGCTTTACAATGCGCCTACAACGATGTACTTTGACGGAGAGGTTGGCCGCGGCCTAATTTCAAAGTCCATCGTTGGACACGATAGTTCCGGCCGCGGCTGCGGCCAATCTGGGACATTGCGACCGGTCATGTCCTGTCAGAGCGGGTTTGGCGCAAGTCGACCGAATGTAAGGGCGATGAATGGAAGAGCGGTTGGCTCGAATGATCGGCGCAATTTGGACAGCACGAAAACGGCTGGCGGCATGGCGTCTCTCGAATCCCAACTTGGCAGGTGGGGTCGTTGTGACAATACCGGCATCTCTTTACGGTGCTTGCCTCGCCTGCCTGTCGCAAATGACCGAGCTGGGAGCGTGATTGCCTTGGGGCCATTCCAGCCCATTCCCTGCTATTCGTCTATGCGACGATCGCACTCCATCACCGGTTGTAGGTCCTGCGTCCCATCACGGGCCGTCGTATGGATCGCTACGGCACTACACAGCTGAGATCGACTGTGGACTATTTGTCAGCGAGCAGACGCTGAACAGCCATGGCCGGTCAGTGTGCTGCTGAAGCGGATGAAGCTGTCTCGAGATATGGTTCACTCGTCCGCATACGATCAAGACATCGGGAGCGCATCATTGGGGCCATCCCGCCAAGTTTCTCTCTCATTGACGCTGTACGTCGTGCTGAACACTCTCGGGGTTTAACATGCTGCCGAACAGCAAAGACTAGCACATGGGAAGCCAAGGTCCGAGGCAGACGACCGCGAGACCTACCAGGCGTATGGCTGAACGTGGGCTCGTTGAGCAGGCCTGGTCAACATGTCTTCTAACGCCTACGTAGTAGTTCGCCTACCCTACCCCACTAGACTACGCACGCAATGAACAGACGTCCAACTCCATATTGATTCAAAGGTGTTCTTCCATTGATTTGTATGTAGCTGCTGATGACACCTTGTGTTCTCCCAGATATTTTCAATAGTTATACCATTTGTCATTGGCAGCCTCTCGAGGTTTGTGATCTACTGCCAGCAGTCCCATGTGACGAAGTAGCGTATGTCTTTTGCGGATTACTTGTTCGCATACCAACCATCACAAAAGCATTATACAAAATCTCAGGCACGATGAGTCGCGATGACAAATCGTCCTGGCGGATCTGCCGCGCGACAAGCAAATGCGTTTACTGTGTAAGTCAGCGGTGCACGGAGCAGACGTCAGGTGGCCGTAGAGGACACTGCCGGCACTATATTTCGCGGAGAATAATAAAATTGAATTCGTTCGCTCGCCCGCGCCCACTTCTCATTTTACGGTGACGGAACACATCCAATCAATCGCAAGTGCAACATGGCCTGCCTGATCCCAAGCCGGGCTTCGCAAATACCTGGCGTTGATTTCGACGCCACCAAACCTCCCACGAGCTCTGTCTTTATCTGGACTGTAGGTTCATGGGGTCGATGGTTTGATTCGCCGGTTGGAACTGCTCTTCGGGGTTGTCGAGGTACTGTTCGATAAGAGACGCCAGTTGATCAGGCGCACCGTCAAGCTTTTCCCGCAGAGCTGAGACAAGCAACATGAGTTGTCGTTGTTGCGCTTCTAGTTTCCCTAGCTGCTTGGATGCTTGGTGCTGACCTGCTTCTACATTCTTAATTGCTTGGCCCCTTTCTTCGTTAGCTTGAGTTAGCACATGATATGGAAACTGAAGGCTCTTACAATTCCGATAATTTCTCTGGAAGCCCGCTGGGTATTTGGTTTGTCTCCGCGTCTCCTGCGAATGCGATATCGTCCCCAAACGGGCCTACATCGGGGTACTGTTGCTCCTCGTTGCCATGGTCAAACGCATCGCCAGGCACATCAGGCACATCAGGCACGACGCGGTATGCTCCAGGCCTCGAAACGGGGTACGGAGCTCTGCGCGTTCGCTGTGCTGTCTGTGCTGTCTGTGCTGTCTGTGCTGGGTGCGTCGGTCGTGACTTTCGCTGCATTCCTTGCGTTCGCTGCCCGCGAGGTCCCTCCATTGCCCTCGTAAACATGGATGCAAAACAGATCAAGTGGACCGGAAGTAGAACGAAACTCTCGTTGATGTAGCCTCGAGAGGTCTTAGGCTCATGGCAGTAGCTACAGCGACGGCGTCCGTTTATAGCCAGCAAGCGATCCCGACACTCTGGCACGGAGGAAGAAGCACAGAATCTCATCACCAACAGGTTGTACCCTGTCGGTGTTGGTCGCATCCTGTGCTGTTCTCGCGGTCGCCTTCACCGCCGCAACCAACGGCTCGTCACCACAGGAGAGCGCTCCTTCGGCCACGCGTGGCGATCGCATTCAACCGATGATCTCAAGTCCGGACACGGACACACAACGTCGCTCGGTCGACAAGCTCCCATCACGGCACTCTGGGGCCCCGATGGCCGCTCAGATTGCGGTTTTGACGATTCCAGGAACTGCCCTTGGCGCGAAAGCGGATTCGGGCGAAAGTGGATCTTCCAACGCATCTTCACTAGCGGGTTTGCGACACTCTAGGCGTAGCCTCGAATACGGGTCCCACCAAGATGTCCAAAATGGCGTGGAGTTGGTGTTGCGAGTACCTCACCCGTCAGAGCCGGGATCGGAAGGCCAGTCTGGCATCGCCCCTAGCCGGTTCCAATCACCACACGCAGCTGTGCAGCATCTCCTGAAGCTTTGGTGGGGCCCATAATTCCGAAGCGCATGTTCTGCTGATCACGCGACTGGCTCGGGCAGGGTAGTCTGGACTTGCGCGATTCGCGAAACTTGGCAGCCAACTCCTTCCAACTCCAGTGGAGCTTCCGAGTTTGTTGGTTGATGTGATGTGTCTACCAACGCGTCACGGTCTCTAGCGCGCCTTGGCCGCTCACTACTCCGTAGCGCGCGCCCCTCTGGCCGATCTTTGCTTATCGGTCAGCCGTCTTTTGGTAGACAAAAACAAGGCTTCGGGCTTCCTCTGCCGCCGATCACTCCTGGCGCCGTCGTATCTAATTTGGCCCGCACGAGCGACGCCAGCTCTGCCACAACGTGGGAAAGAGAGAGCACACTGTGGCAGCGTGGCGGGAGGAAAATCAATGTCCTGTCGCTGCATCCCGCGCTTTCCCCTGCGCGGGCGTGAGAGAGCCTGCGCGTACCCATTTAGCCGCGACCTCTCACTGCCATCGACCTAACACAAGGCAAGTCACGGATCGACCGACGGTAATTTGTGGTGCTACGTGCCGTTCTTCATGCTCGACCACGCCTGAGCCGTTGCTACTCTTGCTTACCTTGCTCCTATCATGCTGGTTCGTTACGCAGAGTGAATAGAGAACGAAACAGTCACCATGGTCCCCTCCGCACGTGTGCGCTCAGGTCTCTGTCGAGTGCGAAGAGCAAGACAAGTCAGAACACCCCGAAAGGAAACAATGGGGGCTCCTGTGATCCACTCCGTCACCGTAACCTAGGCCGCGTTGGCGGGATATCGTGTCGACGCCTTTGACGCTGCAGTGTGATCAATGCGACAGGGGCTGGCCCAGACGTTCGGGACAGGTGGACAACCAACAGTCTGCTCACGGTCGATCGCAGAGACAGTCCATTGTCAGTGGCGCCTCGAAGGTTCTGTCCGAGAACACCGCATCGGTGGGCTGTGCAACTTCTCTGGTTCACATCGAGAGCCTCTCCGTCATCGATACTTCAAACCTCAATGCAATGAAAGAACGGAACCGAACCCGTACGCTCTTCAAGAAAGCCAGAGACCTTGCTTTCGACTTTAAAAGGACAGTCTGCCTCATTGTTGTCAACCCCGACAATCCTCATGAAAGTCGAGTGGAGTGCTACCGAGGCGCGCAGAGAGTGAGTCCGGAGAGCATTGGCGTTATGGAAAGTGCAAATCCCGCGCGTACACACGAGTTTCATATTAACATTTCACAGTTCGTACCGCCGACGGGCGTCGAAAGTGCACCGCAGCACCTCGAGGATGACTTGCTCTCGAGCCCGTGGCCATTCGATCTTCCGGGTGGGACTTCCGACAATGCCAATCCACAGAGCTCTTTCATGTCTACTCCATTTGATTGTAGCCGTCTGGAAAGTCCATTCGAGGGCCCGCCCACACGGCAAGTGAGACGGAGGATGGTCCGAGGGTTCTTGGCTTTCTGCCATGAGAGTCGTGGGCACGAGTGCGAGGGAGTTGCACGTTAAAAGAGTCCTGATCATCCAGTATCATCGAGTACGTGCGTCCGTCATAGCGAATCCATTGTCGAGGCCAGCCGCAGAGCGTCACCTCTATCAGATCTGATATTTGCCCGTCTCCACACCAGTCAGTGCACGCCGTTGGGAGGAAAATTGCGGACATTGCGTCCTCGACGTTCTTCGCCGGGGCAACTGCGGCACGAGCGTCAGCGACAGAGTGTGCCTGTAACCCAAAACGCAATGGCAAGCTCAATATGCGCATGCTTTCCACGCAGATTCATCCGGGTACGATTCGAAGACTGCCGCGGCTTGTGTCCCACTCAGGGGAAGCCAGAGCGGTTCCCCGGACCGTGATGACCAAGTCTTCGATGCGGAGAGTGTTGCGCGGTCCGCTTCGTGGGACCCGCATCCTCGGCATGATGCAGCAGTCAATTGGTGCTCGTGCCACGCCCCGCGTCCTCAGAGCGCGGCTAATTTCCGGACCTTGTGATGAAAGCACCAGTGTTCTCAAAGGAATAGACTGAATGACCAATCATGTGATCTGTCATTATTCATGTACTCTAGTCTAAAAGCAATGATACCAATTCAGTCACAAAGGATAAATAGATAATTTCACTGACTAACTACGGGTGAATTGAATTTAGTCATGACTAACTGCGTTTATTGGTATATGCTACGGGCGTCTCTTTACATAGATAGACGGTGAATAACGTCGGATCTAGTAAGATAGTATGTCTTAGGTAAATAAGAAAGATTAGTTGAGGGAGGACTAGCCTATTAGCATCTCGCACACGCCTATAAATCTAGACCTTTCACTGACTGTTAGATTGTTCTTCAAGAAAAAAAAGGGGAAAAGAAACGAAGTCATCTGAACATCTACTATGCCTGAGTTATTTATTTAGAAATTAGAGATAACAGATTCATCCCGATGTCCTTCTCTGCCTAAGAGACACTATCTCGAAGACATGTTGACTATTACAATCCAGGGCCTACTTGCCCTGATTGAGAGTAGCACTCCGAGCAGGGAAGAATAATCGCATTGAGCTTGCGTGTACATAGGAATGCGCCGCTCGCTTGGGTGCGCAGTAAGGTAATCTATGCATTGACAGTTGTATCGATAGCTAAGGAGCTGGCCGATGCAGATGGTAGGAGCGTTGGCTCACCGTGAGGTCGTGGGCATCCTCGCACACCAGCCTGGCGAAAAGACATCTCGACGCGCGCTTGGGCTAGCGCGTGTGAAGGCCGACGCGAATGCGCTAGTCCATCTCTGGCCGAGGTCACTCCGGCAGTTCTGTTACCGAGTCCGTCGTAAAGTGGCCGCTGAGGGGCGGCTGTGTGGGTTCCTTCAAGAACGCTGAATGAATTGATTTACCAGCGAGTAGTTAAAATGAGGCAAATGTGCATACCCTCCTAGTCTGTCCCAAGCTTCCCTGGGGTACAGGACCATTGACCCATATCATAATTGCACAAGAGCCTCGACATCCGGTAAAGCGTTCAGCGAGTTGATATGCACCCAGCAAGTCGCCTTCGGTCAGGTGGGCAGGGATCCATGCATGATACCGCACTTGATTCTGCACTAGACCGAACCGGGGGCCACACCACCCATCCACCAAGTCAAGGTTGTCTCGCCAACCCTGAGCCAAGGAGCAAGCCCGCCGTCGCAACAACCGGGCCTTCTCAGAAGAGGGCCATGGTGAAAGCGGATTTGCTGTACTGGGAATTTCGGGGTAAGGTTCCGCCTCGTGCAATGTAACAACAGCCGCAATGCTCGTAGGGCAATGCGGCCTGGTGTTTGTGGAATACGCCAGAGTTTGTGAGAAGTAGCTGAGTGTATTTCTTCATGGGTCCTGCTCTGGTCAGTGGAGATCGCCGGTGCGCTGGGTAGCATTTGGAATGTAGGATCACTCACCGCAATCACCAAATGCTCGGGGTGGTGGGCTGTCAGTGCTATCATGTGGCACTATTGGATAATAGAAATGATGTGCGGGGAATGTGCAGTCACACATGCGCAGATAGACAACCGAATACAAGACACAATGGCGCTGTCAGCTTCAAAGTCAGGGCAGTGGATTGTCTTGCTGTATCGTGCCAAATTGAGGGCGCGAGTCCAAGGTGAACGGAAGGCTTCCGGTAGGTGGTGGGGCACCTGCCGGCCAGGATTCGGTGGCAACCCCGCAAACCGGCTTGGCGAAGACGCTCGAGACCAGTCACCGGGTTACGTGTCGAGGACACTGAGTCAGATGCACCTGGTAGACTACGTACGTAGTGTATTGCAGTCCAGCGCTTTGTTCGTTGCAGTTTGCCTTCACATTTCACGCCAACGGTCCGTTCTGGTATCTCTACTCGGCCGGGCGCCGCTGCGGGTCTTGGACGAGAGAAAGCGCTGGCGTTGTTCAAGGTCACGTCTTCGTCTCAGAAAAGACATTCATTGTCCAGATCACTCGATCCATTGGGATCGCTTCATGCAGACTAAGAGAGGAATGTAATTGCGGCTTTCACTATTAGGTGTCGTGCCACGCGACGCTCGTCCATGGCCATCCTTCAGCATTGGCTACGTGTCCACGACGATGGTCACTCGGCATACTCGAGGCCCAGCCGAGATTGACGCGCTCCTCAGACCGGTGCCAAGCAGTATCTGTCTCGCAGGGGTGCGAGCCCTGGTACACTGTGAGGTGGGAGAAACGGTCGAGGGTACAGCGATGCTCAAAAATGGTATCCGCCTTTCTCTCTCTCTTCCACTATATTTGCCGTCTCGTAAGCGCACAAGGAACGCGTCCGATTTAGCGGCTTCTGTATTTAGAACTCTTGCGCACCTGGACGAACCTATGGTGGGAGCTTGCGTATTCCTAACAGAAGCGACAACCCACTTCTCCTCCGGTCCCACCATTAATCTCGCGGGCGTATCAGTGGGGGCGACATCCAGGAAAGGGGCCCCTGTCCACCTTTGGTCGCCACCACGTTCGTCAAGGCATCCTCAAGCTCGACGGGTGAGCGCATTTATAAGCGTCCTGTGCACAAGAAGCCACCACTAGACCACTCCTCACAGCACGACGCATACTTTCAAGCCCTATTTAGCGCCCGAAGTTGACCGCGCTGACCCCAAGAACGTATCCCGGCTCAAAATGTCACCTATTCGTACGCACCTACCGAGGAAAAGAACAATTCGACAGGCATCAACATAAGCCTCGCTTTCAAGCACCCCGCCGTTGTCCTTGAGCATATTGCGTCAATTCGTAAGACCTCGTGCGATACCAACGTGCTTTCCATAGTCTTCGACAACGATACCGGCTTCAAAGAGGCTGTCAAGGACTAGAACACTAGCGGCGAGCCCTTTGTTCTCATCACTGGCTCTCTTACTAAGGGAGCGCAGCTGAATTTGAGCGAGGATATTGCGTGGTTATGGGCATTGCCTTTGACTTCGACAAGTGACCTATTCAAGTCTGGCACCCCAGGCGCCCTACCACACCTTACAGGTGCAATACTTTTACATCATTGCCTGTAGCAACTTTAATGCGCGGGCTGACAGGTAGGCTATATACTCAGGACGTTCATTCCTTTTTCCTACTCTTGGAACGGAATACCCTACACGGTACGTCCTACATTTATTGTGAGCGAAGCCCTCGTTAGAAGTTCTTGGTAGTCTGATCATGTCCATCCAACTATGGTACGGGAAGAGGGTGAAAAATTCTGCACGGGGAGGAGTCGCAGCGGAATTTTGAACCTCACTGTTTCTCTCCAGACATTGGGTACTTCACTATCACCAACTGAACTAGATGGGTTTCCTTGTTAAGCCGGCATCCCGCAGCCGCTTTTGGCCGCAGATTCGATCCTGCAAGTAACCTGATGTAGTTCGGTGTACTTCTGAGCCCCACACCAAGCTCCCGGAGCGAAAGCTATTTCTGAGCATCACTGTACGTACACGAACAATTCTGCTCCGGACATGAACGAAAGCAGCCAACACGGCTGCAACAGGATGCTATCTGACGTGGCCAATAGTGGCAGGCGTCATGTGGCCTCAGCGTTTGAAGCTATAATAGCGTGAGCATGCCATTATCGACCAGATTCGGGGCTGGTGCACGCTGCAAGGCCTGAATGACACCGCGCAGCTTCGTGTCACTTAAATAAAGCGGGAGATGCACAATGGTGTCGCAAAGTCAATCACAGATCTACAAATTCAGTGACTCCGTACACGGCTGCAGCTGCTCGCGATGGAGGCTCATATGCACAGTCGGTGGTGTAGGTCGAGCAAAAAGTTGGCGGATCCATATACGCTTACACACGGAATAGCTACATCTTCATCCTCTGGGCTGCGGAGCAGTGAAGACAGGCAATCCGGGGCCTTCCTGGCGCTTCTCGAGCCAAGGCATCGGAAGTACAACGGCCCTGCAGATCAGGACTCCGATGCCCTGAGTAGCCGGCCGCTTCGATCTCGGGCGTCGACTCGAGATAGCCTCGACACGACGTCATTCGAGCTGTCTTCTGTCCAGTCATTCGCCAGCACGGCCGTGGACTCCCAAGTTCTGCGTTTGGTCGTCTTCAGCAGAACCCTTCAATCTCTGGTCCCGGAGATTAGACAGGCGTGCCGTTCTCTCCGTTCTGCCGGCGACCTGTTGGAGGAGCTGAAAGAGGCGACGGATGCGCTGGCCAGATCTGCATCCGAGGATTCATACGCACGTCAGGGGAGGTCCCGAGCGAACTCGACATTCTCAGACACAGCTGACAGTGGCTCTTATGTCGAGTCAGCCACCCGCCCCACGGACGATCCACAGCCGTTCGACTCGCAGCCTTCAACGCAACAAGCAACCGGAACCCAAGTTTTGTCTCAAGCCATTATTCAGTCAGCAGGGTGTCGGACTCTGTAGTGGCCGCTACAGAGTGGACCTTGAGGTGAGGTTCTCGGATTGGGTGCTCCTGAGACCCGGATACGCCAACGCGCGGAGATGAAGGATGGCATAGTTCTCGATCAAGTCAGAGAACTCGACGGTGAGCGAGCTGGAGCCGACACTGCCACTCGCCTCGCAGGCTGCCTGCCCATGTGTGCCCACGATTGTTTTCTTCAGGTAGAAACTATAACCCGGAAATGAGCGGGAGAGAATGTGAACTGAAGTCGAACCCTGCCATTGTCCAACACCCTATCTTCTGATCGCAGACAAGCTCTACGGAGTATGGCATCAAAAATGCGAGTCCTTTTTTCCCGATGCTATTCAACCTTCGTGTATCGGTTACGCCTAAGCCGTTGCACCAAGGGCAAAAGATCAGGCATTGATCGAATGACGAGCGATCAATGCAGGCGCAATAGGTGCTTATAGGGGGTTACGGGGACCGAGCCGGCAATAGGAGAGCATCACGCCGTGCCTGCCGGAGGAAACATAGCCGCAGCGGCTGGACGACCGCGAGGAACGTGGGCACGAGCTCGATGATCGTCGCCGGGTGCTGCTGTTCGTGTCGATAATGGAGAGGAACTCGGCGGCCCGCAGCGGCGGCATCAGCGAGATAAAGACCAGTGGCATCAGTGACTGCAGGAACTCTTGCACGTCTGCCTTGTTGGCCATCATAGCCCGGGGGCAGAGGGCGACCTTGTTAGACGGCGAACCGCTCGACCTAGCACGTACATGGAGCTGGCGAAGATCTGCTCTCCCATCAATCTGCTGTAGGAGGGCCTCGTGCGTGCTGCGCACAACGATCCGCCATGGTCCTCGGCGTCGAGGTCGTCTACAAACCTCCACGCTTCGATACCACCTGTACCGCGCCTTTGCATAAGAGCCCGCTGTGGAGTAGGTGCCGAGCGCGCCTGCACTAGGATATAGTCAGCTTTGTCTCATTCCTTATATGCATGCGCGTTCCGAGGTAGGTGATCTCCTGGCCGCAGAGGGACCACCCGATCGCGCGACCGTCGTGACATAGAGCGCCCACTGCAGGATGCACCCGAACGTCATCTCGCCCTTGTGGTGCATGTATTCCTCGCAGACCTTGCTGAGCACGGTCGATATCTGGTCCTCGTCATCGCCGGCGTGGGAGCATACTGGTGGCTGTAGTTGCCCGGGTCGTGTCAGCTGCCTACTTCCTCCCCTGGCTCGCTGGCTCGCTGCCTCGTCCGCCTCGTCGTCCCCGAGCCCCTTCCTGGCTAGAAAGAACTTAGTAATCGATGGATTTTTTAAGCAGGACATACTATCCTATTCTATATACACGGGGTACGGTGTTCTTATCGTAGGTAGTCTAGGCCGTGCCTGATTGAAAAGGAGGCTGTTTGACATCAAACGCGGCAAGAATCACGAACGCACGAACACATGAACGCGCAGAGGGAGTGGAGTCTACATGCAAAAGGATGACGCGCAGCGGTGATTGACTATAAAGAACAGGGGATTGCAAAGAGGCGCGGAACAGATGAGCTGTTGGGAATCCCCAAGTCAGGAACGGAACGGTAAGCCTGACGTATGCCCTAGATGTCGCATGAAATAAGTTGCTTAACTTACCGAATTGCATGCCTGGCACTGTGATGTATGGTGCGCTTCTGTAGGACAGCGACCCGCTTTTCGGAACGTGACCGCGCAGAGCCTCGTCCAGAATCGGCTCTCCACGGTCGTGACCTTGTCCTGCATCTATGGCACTATGCGCACCAAGCCGTCCGACGTCCAGCAACGGCCTGCATGCAAAGACGCTCCTTCGGCGTGGCAAATCACCCCTGCTCCGATGGCCACATCTGGACATCCACGAGGTCTAGCAGGGAGCACAATAGTGACCAGGGAACCATAGTCCGACAGAGGGCGTGGCGTAGGAACGATTTGTCCGTGTTGCGTATGTGATATTTACGGCGCATGTGGCAAGCGGTCGTAGGCTTCTGCTCATATACCGGACGACTTGACGGCCACCACCGAGAGTGGCTTTCTTTTGGCTATGGTAGTCAGTCCTATACTCATGACGACTCGGGCCTGGACAACAACCGCACGACGACCTCACGACAACCCCGTCCGCCACCACCGAGTCGGCAGGTGCGAGGATCCTCCGCAACATGTCCGACACAGACACACAGGACGTGCGCAGCTTTCTGGAAACCACTGTCTCCTTCATTTTGCTCGCGCAAGAAAGGTACGGTCCGTACCACAGCGCCGCAAATTCACTCACGGCCATCCTCAACGATAGCCTTACGGCTCTTCGCCTCTTGGAACAAGGATGTGCAGTTGGCGACGGGGCCGCCTTTGCCAACCATACCCCCTCCATGTCTGACCAACTGCAGTATCAAGCTGAGCATTCCGGCTCGCTGTCGCAGTATCCGTCCACGAACCTCACGGCCCTGGTGTTCCCTGACGTGGTCCGTGGCCAGGATGATGGTTATCGATTGATGCTGCCGAGCCCCCCATCTTCGCTTCGGTATGTCGAGGATGGTAGTCTGGCGGAGACAGGTGATGGAACGGTCACACATCAAGTGTCCCATGACCGGGAGATGGATCGCCAACATGGGCCGGAGCCGACGCTAGCGGCCGACCATCTTGAGCCGTATTCGCCCACGGACCTCTCCGACCTGGTGCTCACTAACGTGGTCCGCGACCAGTACAATAGGCGCCAATTGGCGCAGGAGGTGGGTTACCAAAATGAGACAGGGGCGACGTTGGGCACCGAGCTGGCAGAGCGTGCCTCGGACATCAATCCCCACAATGTGGAGGCAGCAAATCCGACCGTGCAACTCGGGGACGCCTCTGACACGAGTACAGGTTGCACCTCGGGCCGTAAGGATGAACAGCAGGAAATATGCACACGTAGTAGCACGCCTGCACGAAGACGACCCAGGATCTACTTCCCAGTGGAGTTGGTTTGCATCGACGACGAATTTGGCGTGTGTCACACGAGACTTGGGTCTTCCCGGAAATGGATAAGTAAGCGCTCGGGACAACACGTCATCTTCACAAAAGGCGTTCCCGAGTCTTCCTCCGTGCTTTTGCGCTTCGCGGAGAGCGGAGAGCGGTTTGAGTTGCGATACTATGACAACCTCTACAAATGGAAGTGGAGAGGCGAATTCCACGGAGAGTGGTTCTCATTGGAACGTAGGAGTCTGGATAGGGTAGTCTCTCAATCCCCGCAACAGCGCCCGCTGCAGCTACGATGCGTGCTACTTCAGAAAATCAGATAGAATATTTAAGAAGCCCTCCAGCTGAGCAAGACGACATCAGGGCTAATGTCGGAATCTCCACCAGCTCCGCACGTGCTTGGAACAACACCTATGCGATCTAACGAACTTGAAGACATGACTGATACTGTAGTGCCTCTGCGTCAGGGAGAGAGGTTAGCTTCAGCCCATAGCAATAGCTATTAACTATCGGGTGCTTATTGTTTCCACTTTCTAGTCAATATAGATGAGTCACAGACTACCTTAAATAAACCATAGACATAGTATAAGGTAAACAATCCGACTATGCACTCAATTCAAGATACGATGTAACGGCAACGTCTAACCGTTGCGCATGGGCAAAAGTTTAGGCATTGGTCGAATGACGAGGAATCAATACAGGCGTAACAGCTGCGAATAGGTGTTTACGGGGACCAAACCGTAACACAAGACTAGTGCAAAATCATCGTTTCCACCTGCAGGTTAAAGGCTCGCTATCGGGCGTAAACCACATGCGAGTGAACCACCCAAGCGGGCGGGACACCTTCACCACCCATCGCGTGCATTATATTCCTCGCCAATCATCACCACACTTTGAACAGTGAACAAACTTGCAAAAGAATTCAAGGTGACATTAGCCCTCAAAGCGATCGGAGAGACGCGTCGTTGAGTTTCGGACACGCTGCAAATGTATATAATGTGTCTCGCACGACGACCTATCGCCGACTGCGAGGTCTTATGGCTAGAGCAGAAACCAGGCCTAACTCGATGATTTTGCCGATTTTCGAAGTGAGAGGGGATATTGAGTATATGCTCGATCTATCGTCGCGATCATTTCCTCCTTGACTGCCCGGTGTTGAAGACATGGCCAGGCAATCAATACGCGTACGCGACGCGCCACCCGTTCGGGCGTCCCTTGACCACGCATTCAGAGGAAACTGACGGTTGATCTACACCTCAAGCCAAGCTCCCTCTAATAGACCGGCGGCTATCAAAGTAGTTGAAAGCTGCATCTCATGGGCGCCGGTAGTATTCATCGGCATCAATACACCGAACCATTTCAAAAGGAGCGGGCTGTTCGGTCAGTGGATTCTCGAAGATGCCAATCACATGTAGAACGGATGGAGCCCCAGAGCCATGGAATGTCCACTGCGGGGGCGGGGATGTTGAACACACCCGCACAGTATCAACATGGACGTTAAGACGATGTGTGATATGGAGGGCACTGCTCTCTATATCCCCAGGCGATGGGGCTCCGGGAGGCCGAGGCGTTGCAACCGAGTGAGGTGATTTGGAGCTAGAAGGGGAGAATAAAAGCGGAAGCAAGCTGCTCTGTGACCCTATGCAGGTAGAGACGACTAGGTTCCTACGAGCTGCCGCCGGTGCTGTTCAAGTGTCAACGTGCTCGCAATGATCAATGCAGTTGCTTCGACATTCGGCTCCTCTCTAGGTATGGCGACTCTGCGTCTGATAGCGAGCCTCGCCTGCACGATCTGCCCGGTTGGTCGCGGCAGTTTATGGCCGGAGGTTGCACGTTATTGCGATGCGCCTCAGACCAGAGCAGTAGAGATGAGATACATGCCGGTCCATGCGCGCGCACGTTGGTTACCATCATCGGGTATTCAATCGCAATCTTGCAGACAGCCATAAATTAAGCGCAAGCACGAGCTAGATTGCAACATTGTACTTATCAATTTTTTCCCGCGCTATAAAACGAGTTGGCCAGAGTATTGGCGTACTCGTCGAAGGGAGTTGTTTTACTTCTCGACCTTAAGAACACGCTCTTAAAAGGCGGTGCCCCATGTAGCTTGGCCTTCTACTACCCCACGAGGTCATCGTGTTAGACCACGAGCCAGTTAATGAGTCCGAAATAGCTTTAATCGTCGAATAGATAGCACGCCTGGGTAGGCTACTCGTACTACTAGTGGGATCCAGGATAGCTACCCTTACTATCGGGTTCTAGCGAGCTTGGATAGGTCTCCAACCTATAGAAGCGATATTTATTGTGTAAGGCTAGACAAGAGGATGCTCTAAGCATGGATAGTCAAGTATGGTACTGGTCGTTGTCCCCCCGAGCTTTTGACACACGAGAAAATTGCAGGGGGTCGCTCTCCATTGCCAACGTCGCTGCACTTACACAATCCTACAACGCCGAGGCTAGGCTGGTAATCGCGGGTCCGATGGGTTCATTGTGCAAGATGATGTCCATTCACAACCCAAACATCAAATTGGGGGCGATTCTGTGCTTGTCTTCTTGTCAATCCTGGATACAAAAGTCACGTTGATCTAATTTGAGTCGCAGGCGAGGAGCCTAGTTAGGATTCCCCTGCACCGAACAGAATCTCTCGAGACCCCCCTTGCACCGTTAACGCCGCTGTCTAGCTAACCCGGCCAACTTGGTCTACTCTTTAGCTGCCAATTACAGCCGTCAGGAGGCGTTGTAGTACCAAAGGAACATATATTACACGAGACGTACGCTCCCGACACAAGACGTACGGCTGAGCGACAACAATGAGGCCGTGCAAGCACACCAAATGGTTGAGCGTCTGGAAAGATGGTGCAAACATCGGTCTTGAAGTGAGTAACAGACCTCGACGTATGTTGGAGGGAGTTGCCAGCGTGGACAGCGCGTCTGGAGGAGTTTTGTTCATGGTTGGAAATGCTGGCAAGCGCCACGCTTTGAAGTCACTGGAACAGCCCTATAGGCAACGATCAACTCTCCAGGGAGAGGAGGTGCACCTTCGCACCTTTGATCTTAGGTACCCCAGTGGTGGTCCTGTCGTCGTTGTTGACGCTGAAGTACCGTCCGACTTCCGACCATTGCCCCCTCGCGGCAGTGAGCGCTGTCACAAAGTACGCAGTCACCGGCTCGAAACTGGCCCGGGGCTGGATGGAATTGGCCGGTCGCTACGCGATATACAGAGAAGGGTCATACTACCGCTGGCAGACGTCGTGTGCATATTTGTTGATGATCTTGGTGGTATGAGGCGGTCCTTGCAGCTTGTGGAAGCTTGGCTGGTGCCCGATGGGTCCAGGAGAGCCACGCTGCCTCATTTACTCCTTATCATCGGGCAAAATCGCGAGCGTGGAGCCAGCAGTATGCTCCAAGATTTCATAATCTCGAAACGAGCGGAAATCGAAGAGAGATTCAAAAACGTCTCGACCGTGCACACTGGCTGCAGGGCGCGGAGACGGCGGCGTGGCAGGCATCATCGCACTGCCGGGCCGGTCTTGGATGCCATCTTGCGTGCTATCGACGCCAGACGTAGCGCCCGTAGGAGGTCACGTCATAATTTTGCCGTTCGACACGTTGCTGAGCTTCTATCTATGGCGATATCCCAATATTTGGCGAGCCCCCGCGAGACTCTCGACTTTATCCATCTATGCCGGGATGGTTGGGGCGTGGCTGCAGATCTCCCGGAACACATTTTCAACTTTCTCTGTCAATTTCAGAAACCAGGCAGCGTCAGGCGCATAGCAATTCCAACCGTCGCTTCTTCGTTGATATTAGACCACTATGCACCTGGAATGCACCGTGAGTCATCAGCATAAATGTTGAGTATGCCTAATCTTCATAGTGTACGATGCCGCCGAGGTTTTTGAGGCCTTGTACGCCGCGAAGTGTTTCGCGGCAGCCGATCGACTGTCGCGTGAGACGAAAACGAAAATCCCCCCAAGAGAGATTGTGAGACTTATAAGGAATGAAATGATAACCCAGTTCTCCCAATTGTTGGCAATAGGCACGGCCGCACAGTGGCATAGGAAGCATCTGATGCGCTTCCGAGCCCTTCACGATATCTGCATGGTTGACACGTGTCTGAGCTGCCTTCGTCGAAGACCTCAACATCGCATGCCATGCGGGCATCTATTCTGTCAGGTATGCTTGAAAATCTTTCATAGGAAAGAAAGCGAGCAGTCGTGGACCCTCCGCCCGGATTCATGTCACGTCTGCGGTTTGGGATGCGCCGGCCTCGCCGTCAGACTAATACCAGACACCGCGCGAGCTCGTGTTCTGAGCATCGACGGAGGAGGCGTGAGAGGTATAGCCCCACTCAATTTCCTGAAAGCAATACAGGAAGAGATTGGCATAGAGGACCATAACATAGGCGATGACTTCGACGTCGTGTTAGGGACAAGCTCAGGTGCGTTACTGGTCGAGTTTCAGGCTCAGTTACTTACCGTACATAGGCGGGCTGAGTGCAATTTGCTTGGGACTTTTCGGTTGGTCTATCGATAGATGTTTGGCTGCCTTCCGTGACTTCGCGGCGCGAGCATTTGAATGCGAGCAGCCCAAAGCACTGCGCTGTTTGGCCAAGTGCCCGTTTCTGACGCCTCTCGCTCGTCTCTTGACCATTCTGATCGCAGTGCTAGCTGACAGCAAGTACTCAGGCGCACAATTAGAGCAGCTTCTCCAGCAAATCTGCGGCGCGGGAAGGACCATGCTAGATCGCTGTCCGCGCGAAGAGTCATGTCCGTTCGTTGGTGTGACACTGACCGCTACATATGATGGCCGCGCCGTTATTTGTACCAGCTACAATTGCATCGGTACTCGTTCCAGCAGCAGCGGCAAGAGCATATGGACCCAGGGCTCCGATTGACGAAAGGCTGACAAGATGATAGGCATACTACCAAGCTACGACGGGAGAAGGTTCATCTCGCTTTGGGAAATGTGCGTCACTTTGGCCAGCGACACGCTCGATGTTTGGGCTAACACTACGTAGAGCTCGATGCGCGACGGCAGCTCCTTAGTATGTTGAATTGACGCTTTCCCGTACAACATGGCTAACGAGCACATTGAAGTTACTTTCCCCCGAAGAGGCTCGGGCAGCTTGGAAATTTCCAGGACGGCGGCCTAGCGTTCAACAACCCGGCCTCCTTGGCTGTTCAGGAGGCGATAGCAGTCAATCCAGATGCCGGAGAGCCAGATCTAGTGCTTTCGCTAGGCACGGGTCTCAAAGCACCATCGAATCCTCAGGGGAAGACTCACTGGCTCCACAACACGTTCCCCTTTCGCATCTCCCAGGCTCTGTGGAATCTCGGTAGTTCTACTTTTGCTTGGGCACAGCTTCTAGAAAACAGGGGATCCAGTCGCACAGATTACCACAGAATTGACATCCACACACAAGGCAAGGAGACTAGATTGGATGAGGTGAACCGGATGCAAGCATTTGGCGACATGGCATACAAATCGGTGAAAGGTTCCAAGCAAGTTCGAACCATAGCTAGTCGTCTGCGTGCGGAGTTTTTCATATTTCAATTGGATCCTTTATCACCCCCTACTTATTTCAACGGCGCCTACAACTGCGTAGGCTACGTTACTTGTCGTCTTGGGGGCGGGGACGAGAAGGTTCAGGCCCTCATGAGACAGCTTGTTGCCAAGTCCTCCACCTTCCGGTTGAGACAGCAGTCAGTAGACTGCTCGAGTCACCGTATCGACGGGACATTTACTCACAAGATGGAATTTCGAGTAGCCAGCATGCAGGAAAGCTTTCATGTGGTGCTGTCCGTGGGCAATGACGTGGATTGCGATATCAGTGGGTCGCCGTTTACCCTAGACTGGCTCGTTCAGCGACAAAAAATCGGGAGATGCTTCGGCGTTGAGGATCACAGGAAGCGCCCAGTGCCCCCAGGGATCGATGGACGAATTTCAAAGCGCCGTAGGCTCTAATAGATGGAGCTCTGCACGGTTTGTGAAAGATATCTGCGGCCACAGTGGGCGCATTCAAATAATGGCTCTCAAAAGATAGCGGCGAGGCCACACGCTGGTCAACAGAACAATACCACACGTGACGTGAAATAATCACTTTCTATCTTCAGCACGATAACGATGTAAACTAAGAACGGCCCCTAGGCACTTGACGTGAACCGAACGCTCTCCACTTTGACATCCTGGCGTGTTTCTACACGAAGTCTGTTCCACCTACCCGCTGGCTATGTCATTACCAACCTTCGCTTCTTCGTTTCTAGGTAAGCTAGGATTCGGGAATATTTGGGCGCTTGATGCCGTCATAGTAGGACTCCAAAAGCATATGCATTACTTAGCGTGTGATGTCAGGCTACATGCGCCGAGAAAGCGCGTCGATCCTCAAAAGAGACCTTGACAGGCCGCTGACGGTGACCTTTTTCGCCATTTGCAGTGCCATAAGCTGCCTGCATCCTCTATTAATATCTTTGAGTTGTCTCGCGCTGGCTTAAGCGATGGCGGCTCCACAGTAGTGATCTTGGTAGCCTGCCGGCTCTTAGGGCCTGCCGCACGGACGAACGGGAAACTGCAGGTTAATTCAGGCTACATTGCCCACTGAAGGATTGCGATCACAAGATCCAAGGGTCCATGGCGTCTCTATAGGACCGGGGAAGCGGATGGCGGATGACGAAGACTTCAGTTCCTTTGGGTAGCGTAGAAGTCTATCAAATGGGGCGTAAATTCGGGTAGGTCACGGATTGAACCGGCGACCTGGAGACATAATAGAACTTGCTGCTGTCCGGTGCGGACATCAAACTTAGCTCTTTCAGGACCAAAACAGACACACTTAACACTATTCCGGCTAATTAAGTTTGGAATCGCGTTTCAGGCCACAACCTCGCGAGGGGCCCATATCACTTAACAAGGTCCGCTATTCCTATCAACCGAACCCAAATCCTCAACATCGGGTCCAAAGGGATGGAAATGCCACTGCCGCACGAACGGTGAGCTTGCGAAACCCCAAGCAATCACAATGAGTCACGGTGTATTGGTTCTAACGGAAGGGTCGCACATGCTACTAAAAGCTTGGCAAAGCGTATGTACTCCATCATCTATCCGGGCCGATGGGGGAGGTGTTGAAGAGCTTGTGCACACCGCATCAAGGGCACCCGCCTGCAGGGTTCGCTCAGTTGAAAGGTCATGGCAACGAAGTGACCAACAGGCCGAACAATGGAAGATTTGGTTGATGAAAGTAAAGCTCACTGAGACTGCCCTATGGATTGCTATCGCATTGCGATCTGCTATTACTAGAAACATAGTGAGAGAACCGGGGAATGCCACTTCGTGCACGTCTTTCAAAAAATTTGCGAGGCAATACAGTAGAGATAACCAGCCGCAGGAATTATTGTACATAGAAGGAAAAGTAGGCCTTTTGAGGCCTTTTGAGGCCTTTCTCGAGTACAATAGAGGTAATGGACGGAGTGAGAACGTGACAGAGGAGATCATTGTATTCCTTATCTGTAGAACTATCATTTATTATTATTTCGTACTTTAACGACCACGTAATGCAACAAACCCTAAATTCTCGCTTGGAGATTCAGGGTGGGCCGGCGGGAGCAGGTGGCGTCTACAATTTAGCGCCTGCCTTGACACCAATTGTCGAACTCCCTGATTTCTTTATTTCGTTGCAAGAGGTACCCTAGAAACCTTTTGAAACGGCGATTCCTTTCCAGCTTGCTCTGATTTGAAGAGAATGTAGCACCGGAGCCCGTGAGATTGGGGGGATTCTTGTCGTTCCTGTGTAGATAGGAGTTTACCAATGCTCTCAATAGTCGTATCTTTTGTTGGCGCTTGCGTGGGACTGAAAGCAAGTCGGTGTTGGCAGCAAATGAGAGTGGCTGAAGCGATGGCCAAGTCCCTTCGAATGGAGCACACTGGGAGGCTGCTCCTTGGGATTGCTGGAAATCGTGTTCTTCCCATCCTGCCATACTCTTGTTGCCCTGGGGAATCATGGCAGCTGGCGCTGCGGCAGGGTTTGCTGATGTCGTATGTATCGTGTCATTTACCGGTAAAACGAAGTCATCGTCGAAGTCAAAGCTCAAGTCCATGCCATCTTGCAGCCACTGCGTATCGAGCTGAACTTCCTGTGCAAGCGGTCCGAGCACTCCGTTGCCATCGGAGTGGGTTGTGTCTCCCTCAGCGTCTTCATCACATGCTGTGGAGTGGACCTCGTCCTGACTTGAGTGCCCATTCCTGATAGCACGTCCGTCCGTCGGTGCGTGGTTCTTATCTTGCAACGATTCAGGTACGCCCTGCCTTCCCTGCCTCGCTAATGGTCGAGCATTAGATGGAGGACTGGAAGTGACACTCCACACCCCGTCGTTTTCGCCGCCTGTCTCACGCTCGGTCCGGTCGCCGGCATCTCTACCTTGCCTAGGACTTGCCGGTCTTTGCTTCTGTCTTGATGAGCGACGTGGTTGTCTTCGGTGCCCCAGCATAGACTTCGACTGCTTTGACATAATGTCCCTAGCCTCTGTTGTGTCAGCTAGAGGTCACTAATATCGCCTATACGGACGTACACAGGCGTTCAAATCCGGCAGTGTCTCGCCTTCTGGTAAGTGTACCACTCCGTCGAGAGCTTCGCGGACGAGATTATAGTAGATCAAGACAGTGAAGATGTTGCAGTCTTGGCCGAGCCTCAATGTCCGGGGTTTAGCAGTATTCGCTCGTTTGCGAAGTAAGTTCTTCCGCCTGGTAATGATATTGTTTTGCGGCGACATCCTATCCCACGGACGCAAACGAAATACCACGGCCAGGACGGCACAAGCTGGAGGCAGATAACACGGGACTGATATTGGAAAGCACCCGCAGGCACTGAAGGAGAGACTGTCGGGAACGGAAACGCCCAGCCATTATTGGATGGCATTGACAGAGGCACCTGCATGTGCTGCACACTGCTTACGGACTCCGCTACAGTGGTCATAGAAAGTTGCTGGTATGGGGTTTCCCTTATCTAGCACCCAACCATTCGTAGTTATTGCGGACCGCGAGGCCCACTTTTGGACTCTGTGGTTGCTTCAAGGGGCAGCTTGGAAATGGGCGTAAACTAATATTGAACACTACATGCCAGACCACTGGGATGTCAAAACCGGACACCAAAATTAGATGCCAAAATCGGACGCCAACGGACCCACAGCGGAGCATATCACGAAGTGGCACCACGGAACGCCAGCCCGAAACGCCCAACCCCCGCTTTAAAGCTAACATGAGTGGGAGCTTTACGGATACCATGGTGTTATGACCCAGGGTAACCTGCACGTTGCACGTGACCAGCTGGCATCCCACTGTTCGCGACCAACCATAATTAACTCTGTTGCGCTCGAACTGAGCCCTCACGAGCAGGAACACTTATACAGCAAGAACCCGAATCTGATCCTGCCAAGCCAAACAAAATCTCAAATGAGCTCTGTCCGAGCTCATTAGAGCACCATCAGTATATAGGAAGCCACGCTTCACCATAGTCAGTCTTTACTCAGCTCTCCAGCTATCAATACAGTTGTCAACGCCTAGATTACTCTACGCACTCGACTGTGACCCGAACAACCGCTCAACTGCAGACATCCTAGCTTTGTGTACGGTGATGCTCAGAAATGGCTTCCCCTTCTCTCTCTCTCTTTCACTCCGGGAGCTTGGTGTGGGGCTCCAAGGTACACCAAACTACATAGGGCTACTTGCAGGATCGAATCTGCGGTCAAAAGCGGCGGGACGCCGGTACACCCCGAAACGAATATCCAGTCCAGTGGTGACAATGAAGTACTTATGAGTACTCATCGGTAGGCAGGGACGTCCTTAGACCCTCAAAATTCAAAAGACAGCAAAAATAGAGAGGAAGATCCGTATATATATTTCCACGGACTTCTAGAGGCTACCCGGTATCCAAGCGAATAAACACGTCCCGACGTGCATCCAACATCTAACGTGGAACCCATCACAGCAGGCAAACCTCGATAAGCCGGCGGTAGCCACATTAGATTGGATGAATCCCGGACGACCCAAGCCGATCCCTTGCAAATTGGCACCATGACCCGGCTTTAACAGCATTAGTGACTTGTTAAGCTTGAATAAAACCGCATCTATGTGAAGCGTAGAGCTAGTTCTGCTGAATAAAAGATCTCGTATCGATCTACCGACCTCGAGTGTCGCCGTGCAGGCGCCCGTCCTCGGATCCCACATCTTGACAATTCGATCGTTGGAGCCGGACGCGAGCCGCTGCGAGTGGGGCGAGAAGGCCACGGACCTGATCCAGTCGCTGTGGCCCTCGAGAGTCGCCAAACAAGCATTCCAGTCTATATCCACCTCTAGTAGTAGAGACAATCAGCTAGGGAAATAGTCGCTAAATGTATTCCGAACGACACTCTTCTGTGCACATATAATAGCTGAGAGATAAATCTATAGCGGCTGTTAATCAATAGCGGATCGATGGCTGAGAATAAGACGCTGCGTATTATGAAGAATTGCCGATATATTGTTTCCGAGCTCTATCTCTTTACGTTCTTAGTGCCATAAGTACTAAATAGGACTAGAAACTTGTATACAAATAACCTAGTAGATCGCTTATTATACTAACGCTCTCCGAGATACGGCCAATGATACTAAGCGCTTTAAGCCATTGGAGGAGATAGCGAGTCAGAAAACGATCAACGTTACCTCCATACCGAATCAGACACTTACTATCTTTCCAGTAAAGTACCTAGTATTAGCAAGCATATTGCACCTCAGATGGCAAGCAGGTATCATGATGGCTAGGCAATATTTGCCCGAGCTGCCCCTAGCTCTCGCAAATTATAAATATCCTGTTCGAGGACGTTCGGCGTGGATAAGAGCTAAAGACACTTCGTCTCTAGATCCTAGAGTTTCCCGCTCGTTAATCTAGAATAGATATATATTTTCTTCTCTGCCTTTCTCTAGGTTGATTAGAAACTCGCGAAGGATAGATATAGCAGTCGCATAGGACTATATCGGTCCGATAGAACGCTTAGAATAGAGTGGAGGAGATTAAATTAATCCTCGACAATATTTAAGGGCGTTCCTATTAGCCATATAAGGGAAGCTTCGAAAGTGGATTCGCTAGAAGCATAGTAGAGCCGACAACGTGCTTGAAGTTCCTAATTATCTCCTGACTTATGGTCTCGGTGAGGCCCGACTAGAGTCGATCTACTATGGCAAAGTATGCCGTATTTAAGTTAGATCCTTGACTTCCTGCCTAGTAAAGGATCCTCTGGAGTTAACCCTGCGGTCTCCTAAGCCTCCTATCTCGCAAAAAACGGTAAATAGTAGCGGCCAAGATGAATAGAGGAATACCCATATCGACAAGCTTCTAAACATCCGTACTAGGCCGGTCCGAAAGTACTTATTGATTAGTCTCTATAGACTAATTATAAGCTTGCCGAATTTCCGCGATATTATGCTATTATAATATAACAATATCGTGTTTAATTATTAATTAAGTTATCTCCTGGAGAACAATCGCTTCGTACTTGCCGTTAATGTCTTTGAAGTCTAGCTAGATAGGTAGCTCTAGCCTGCTCGTGACGAGGAACTATAGCCTAATAGAAGCGGATCCCTATAGCTAAGAAAGCAAGTAAATAATAAGTTTGATATTATCGAGGTTATCGTATTTAAAAAATCTATTAAAGACGAAGACTATTATTAATATAATCTATTAAAGACGAAGACTATTATTATTAATTGCAAAGGCTTATTAACTATATATATCGGGTTAAGATCGAGATTTTCGAACTAGTCCTTAAGAGGTTATGGTGAATACTAGGATTAGACTCGGTCTCTTTACGAACATAGAGAACCATAGACGGCAGTCGACGGATAAGTTGAGTTACGATTGAGGGGAGAAAGAGAACGGTACGACCACGGTCACGTTCGCCTTATCTAAAGAAAAAGCTAGCGTTAAGCGCAGTTTCGCTAGGACGAACTCTTGATGAATGGTAGCAAGCGACGATCTTAAGTTATTAGTAGTATATCAAGGGCAACGTGGGATACGCACGCTTAATAGACACGTAGGTCAAAAGAGATTGCCGATCTGCACTGCCCAAGCTTCTCGGTAATAGCGTCCACCTCTTCCTTCTTCAGTGGCCAGACCAGTCGCTTCAACGTCGGTGCGGGTTCAAGTCTTTCTGCCAGGTCCTTTAGCTGTATCTGACGATCATCCAGTGTTCGGCGGATGTTCTGCGAAGAGTCGATCTTCTCGCCATTCGGATCTTGAAGGAGTTGGTTGATGTCGCGAAGCGTGGTACCCGCCGGGACCCATCCCGTCGATACATTTTCGCCTTGCAAGACTTTTGCTTCGAGACAACCACTTTGTGCGCACTGTCTGGGTAAGACTTTTAAGCTCGTCCTTACAGCTAGCGATGGTATCGGCGCAGCAATCATGCCCTGAAATTAAGGATGGAATCGTTCTTCATTCTACGAAGGGTCTAGATATATTTATTTTCAATTGGACAAGGCCCTTCCATCCACCACCTGACGAGTATCGTACTTCCTCAGCGTCCTGTCCAATGCCTCATCGTCCGCCTGGTCAAGCAGCCAAATGTCCCCCCGGTATGGTCTCCCTGGTGTAGAATCCTTATACTCCTCGATAATGTCACAGACTTGCTTCGTAATGGCTCGGCATGGTTGCTCCTCCTCTGGCGTGTCCCAATGCTGCTCAAAGCGAGCAAGCGCATGTCCTAGAGGCATCGCGCAATCCTTCTCTCGCATCTTTCCGCCCCCAAGTATGACCAATGCTGACATTCGCTCCCTGCACGGGCTGCCCTGGGCTGACTCAAATGCGGCGTACAGGCAAAGAAACATGGACTCGCAATGCGTCTTTACCCACTGGGAAACACATGCTTGATATGACCGTCCCATTTCTCTCGCACACCACTTCGTTTGCCAGAATTCATGGGGGTTGTTGTGCAGCTTGTGAGGAGTCATGTCACGGAGCTCATCTGGGTTGTCGATGAGAGACTGAGTGGCTGGAAGCATTCGAAAATCGAGGACGGATCCCTGTTGCCATTGCCCGTTGAAGATCAATGATGCAGCCTCTGGACCTAGGTCTCCGACAATGCGGGCTCTTGTGTCCCCGATGGACAGGAGGCTGACCACGTTAAATGAGCAAGTAGGAAACGCCTGGCCTGGCTCATAGTAGAACCTGAACGATACCGATATGTCCTTTGGCAGTGCCATGGCTCGGCTGAACGTGCACTTCGGGACCAAAATACCTTGTAGCTGTTTCCTACTGATGGATGCAAAACACCACGTAACCTGTGCTGGTTCTTGCTCCAACCGGAGCCGCACCTTGGTGACGATCCCTATGCCGGCGGCAGCGCCCCCGCGCATTGTATGTAGAACATCAGGGTGGTTGTTCTCGTCCACCTCCATAATAGTGCCGTCCCACAGGACGATTCGGCCCCCGATGACGGCCTGGCAGCCTAGGCCGTACAGCCGTGTCAACAAGATATCCCATCCTGCCGTGAGGAAATGCCCTCCTACCCCCACGCCGAAGCAATCGCCGTGGGGTACCACTCGCTGGGACTCGTGGAGCACATGTATTGTCTGCCCGAGAACACAGCCAGGTTCCACATCCAAGATATCTGATTGTATCTTGCGCTTGTCCATCAACGACAGATCAATCATGATATCGTTGCAAGTTGCGCCATTGAAATAGCCGTGGCCTCCACTTTTGACTGAGACTTCGACTTGCTCGTACAACTTGAGCCTCTTCAGAGTCCGCAGAATGATCTGGACCTCTCGTTCGTCTTTCGGGGAAATGGTCATCGTAGGGATGACAGCTGCTCGATCATGCATCAAAGCCCCGTCAGGACATTCGGAACCATCACTCAGGCAGACCCGTATTCCCTGCTCTTGTAGTTGGTCTTGTAACTCGGCGAACTCGTGGGCTTCCATGCGTCCGGGTTCAGAGTCTGCGACGGAGCTCATCGTGCGGACTGAGGCGATGCTTGGGGATTGCTGGAAAAAGGGGAGCTAGGCAGGTTGCCTACTAGTAAAGAAGACTTCGATTTGATTATGAAGATAGTAACCTTGATGTTCGATCATTGTACCGGGAGCATCGTAGTTTAAGTACACCAAAAGCTGGCACACAGGCTCATATGCGGTGGATAGGCTTGATATGGAGGCGAATCACAAAACTATTTCAGCTGCCAATTTCGACTTTTGTTGACCATTGGATGACTGGGAAAGGATGGCAAGTCCTTTAGAGGCAATTTATGCAGGAAATTGGTGGCTTTTGGACAGAGAAATGACTTGATGGTTCACGATACGAATAGCGCCAGAATCAGACTACGGGCACGATGCGAGCAGTGAGTCGACGACAAATGCGAAAAATGGAGCTCGCGCTCCTTCGCCCGTACTGGCACCACGATATGTGACAGAGCTAGTAGTAACTCATTCCATGCTCCGATAGTCCTCCCGGTCTATGCTAAACTCTCCGAAGGCTTAGCATCTACCAAATATGCAATGAGCCACGCTCTGCATCGTTGCCTGCAAAATGTCTCAAATAGCATGCCTAAATAATATTGCAATGGGTAGGGGTTTGCCTGACACCAGAGAATAGTAGTTAGCGCGCTGGACTCTACCGTCTTTTCTACTTTGGTTGACGGTCCTTCTAGACACGCGATTAGCTGACGGACAAGGGGCTCAAACGCCGAAACCCGACCTGCTCACCAACCTAGTTTGAGAATTGTCCCTCATCTGCATGGGCAGACCGTGGGGTAACAAACTTTTGAGGTACCAAGTGGCAACATGGACGGGACGCCTTTGCAGTCTTGATTGCCACGAAGCTAGCGTTGAAAGTTGAGATTCAGGGTTGCAATACCTTTTGGGTCGATACCTTGTTCGAATCAATGACCTCTTCTTAGCACGCCAACTTCGGAGAGGCCTGGTATCCATACGCCAGAAAGCAATCCATAGCCGGCGATGTGGCAAACATCACGTGAAGAAACCTCTGACTGTTTCATATTAAAGATTGATCAAGAGGAGTGTATTCGGGCCGTGACTTGGACCCGCAACCTGGGCTAGGCTCGTCCGTTCTGACTGTCCGAGTCTTCGTGGCCGCGTCTCTCTTCATCAACTTCTCCCGCAGTCGCTTTCCCGCTTCGGTCTTGATGTCAGACTGGTTTTCGATCCAGCTCATCACAATGTTCCGCTTGGTCTTCCTCAATTCTTTCAGCTGCATATTTAGAACCTTATTTGCACACTGAAACTCCGCCTCCATGTGTCTCACTTCCATCTCCACCTCTTCGAAGATATCTTTCATTCGCTTCAAGCGACTAGAGTCCTTGGTAGCTTCGAGAAAGGCAACAGCTGATTCCAAGAGAAGCTTTATTCCACGGGCTGTCGTTCTCGTCCTGTAGACCACTGTGTCCCGGATTGCGCCTAAGTCCCTGACAACCTCGGGTGTGAGTGAGAACGCTAGTTGTGGCTCTAAGATCGCCCTCCAACACCTGTCAGTGATAATGCTGAGCCATCGAGGGAGCTCGAGAGAAGATCCGCACTCCCAATTATTTTCCATGGTCAAGCCCGGAAGGTTTCGGCCAACAAATTCAAAACAAGCCTGCTCGAGGATATCTTGAGCCGTCGTCATCACCAGATGCTGTGTTATCAGAGGAAAATAGCAAGGGTCATCGTTGGGATTTTGTCCCGTGCACGTCGATCCCGTTGAGCAGCTGGAGTGATGCGACTCATCTATCGACGTAGGTGACGGCGCAGCGGAACGTTGATGGCGCTCTGACAGGAAAGTGAGGGACGTGTCAGATGCGACACGCTTCATACAAGCCCTAAGGCCGTCTGTTTCGTAGTGCGAGCTGCAAACAATGCCGCCCCCGTCTTCCGATCCAGAAGATGTGCCAAACTGTGGTCGTTCTTTTTGGCACTGAGTCCTGTGCTTCAGGAACTCTACGGGGGATCTCGTGCGCGTTTCTCGGCTATGCATCATGGGGACCTCTTGCCTGGAACAGCAAAGCTGTCATGCCAGAACATGAGGGTCACCGATCCTCTTCTATACTTGACATGGTTGGACACTTTGTCGTGCGCGACGAGGAGTCCCACACTTGATTCCGTCTTCGGCCGCTAGATGAGTATACATAACAAGTGGGAAATTTGAGTCACATGTAGGGTTGAGCGGGGCATCTTGCGCCTCCAACGCGGTCCAGTGAGTATGTCTATAAATCGGGCCCAGATGTGGATGTCAAAGTCAAGCCTCTCGCCCTTGATGACTTCAGCAGTCGCAGTGGAGACCCCATCCCGTTGGACAGTTGATGGGGCTTGATTGGCTACCTTTGGCTTCATGGGCTGAGGAGGCCTTTTCACAGCCTGAGTGTGGCCATTTGCACATGTGCCACCGTACGCCACCTCGCTCGTGGGTTCACGGACGCATGAGATCAGCTCCTTCATGGACCGCCCGTTCAACTGAACAGAACACATCAATGGCCAATATTGGCTGTAATTATGTGGTGTATCGTCAGAGTACGTGCATGTAATCGAATCCTGTGATTGAGGCAATTTCGTTGCTCATACAGACAATCATGTGACTGTGCACTGGGCCTGACCCAGTCGGGTTCGGCGTTCGCTCCTAGGCCTGCCAACGAGCCCGTCAAGTGTTGCGTGCAGCAGCAGGTGAGGTGCATTCCCTTCGAACATGGAAGACGTACTGTAAGAGTGTTGTTGGCGCTATCACCGCAGCCCCACCCGGCCAGTAGATATCAGCATCACTAAATTTTGAGGGGTGTGCTACTAGATGGTCTGTGAGGGCTTCGATGCATTGCCCAATTAGATTGATTCTAGCTTCAATACATTTGAGTCAAGTTCATCTTCGCACCTATCATAGGGCTGGCGACGCAATTGACAGATGTCAGGTTCATAGGTCCCAATCGACATACAAACGAAGAGGTCATAAGCAAGTATGTACACCATACTAACACCGTCTTTTATACATACGGTAATATAACTCACTACCTCCTCGCGATATAACCAAAATCCCGTAGTTATGGAGAGCTTGAGTTTCTCCTGTCGCTGATAGCTTAGTTATGTTAGAAATAGCTAGAGGATCTAGTTACGTTTGAATGACTAGGAGTTGGCCTGACGCGCGAGCCTATCGCTCGGCTAAACTGCGGTAGATTTATGACTACCGTGGAAACTAACTCGTCCGAACAATCCTACCTTCGCGATTATTAACATAACAGCCAATTACGACGCCCACGTCATCGTCACGCTGTCGGCGCCATTCATCCTAACGAAATCCATTGCCACAACGTCTGCTATCTGTTCGCCTTTCTGATGCCCGTACGGTCGCTACTCGAGCCCCCTCCTAATACTAACACCGGCGAACCCGGTTGTATCGACTTCCGGCATCCTGCGTATCCTAACAGCGAAGCGGCGCTGCTGCGCTTCGCTATAATCGATGGTGATCATGGGATGGTGTCGACTTTAAGGTCGCGCTGGTTATATATGGGATTATCACAGGCAATACCTAGTACTGTTGGCACGTCGCGGAGATAGATACCCGGGGGGCGTGGGGGGTTATGTAAAAGTCGACCGGTCTACGACCGATGTTCTAAGGCAACGGACGTATTACTATAAATAAAGACCAGACTATAGGTCACTTCCATTGCCTTTCTCGCCTTTGCTATGATAGGGAAACTAATATTATTCGCAATAGACAAGTACCCTGCTATACCTTGGTTCGATTACAAGCGGTTCCCACATAGGAACCTTCATTTCGCCTAGAGAAATATCAATATACCATAAGCAAGCCGTTCGAAGCTTAAGAGGAAGATTTCTGCGCAAGACCGAGATACGATATATCGCATCTTAACACACGCAAGCGCTCTCGAGGTGGCACATTTCGTGCCCGTGGCGGACGAGAAGTGGTTCGCATCTAATAAGATGGACCAGTATGTTATTAACCTTATGACCTTTACCCCTGCTGATTCATTATGTCTAGGTATATCAAATCTAGGTCTAAAATACAGCTTACAGAAGACCTAATTAATTACTCTCCGGCGTTACCTCCATTACCTCTTCGATACCCGCCGCCTTATATTCGTTCCGAAACGAGACGCAGTGTTACGGTTCTACCAGTCCCTGGCGGCTGGGTATAAGACCCAGCCCGGTTCACCTAGGCACGTGACGCGTGCCCGCGAGGACGCACAGACCTCGCAGGGTCTTCACAGGAAAGGGGGACCGTAAATTCCCTCTTCCTTCTCTTTTCTTACCTTATCGTTAGATAGACTCAATCTGAGCTACCAAGTTGTTCCAACAGGGCTTAGCCCACAACACGCAGCTAGGCAAGAATAGAGCCTAGCTTTCCACGTTTCTCCCTAGATGCTAGCTTAAGTAACCTCGTGGCGAATTATAGAAATTAAGAATATCATAAATAATTAGGTAGGGTAAGTAAGGGAGCGCTTTTAGAGGAGAAAAAGAAAGATAATTAATTACCTTGTAAAGAAAGAGGCCGAAGTCTTTTTAGCAGTAATAAGTATATTGACTAGCTGTTATGCTATAGTTCTAACTAGATATATTAATTATACGTAATTTCATTTAGGGCGGGCTTTATCTAGGAGGGGGCTATCGGGATCTGGGGGAAGGTGTTACGACCCGACATGCGACCGCATGCGCCGCTATGCGGCCCGCACGTGACATGACTTGGGACCCATCGTTTTCTCACCAATCACTTAGGATCATCTACAAAACACATGATCCGGATCATCGCGCTCATTTCGTGAGCCTCATGATCCACGAGTGTCATCTGCCACGAACAATGATCCTCTTAGTATATAGGAAGCCTAGCTTCACCATAGTCAGTCTCTACCCAGCTCTTCAGCTATCAATACAATTGTCTACGCAAGATCTACTATCTCGCACATAGACTGTGACCCGACCGCTCAAGTCAACGACATCCTAGTGTACTCAGTTCATAAACCGACCTCAGATCTACCTACCCTGTAGCTAGTCTGACCCAAACGTCACAGAAGGTAAGGATCACGCAGGATGCGGGGTGAATACGTCGGGATGCGGAGGAACGTAGGGAAACCCTAGGACTACACACGAAATAACGAGATCCGGGAAGAAGTTATCGGAGTCCGGGGGAACGAGGTAGGACTCGGGCCGAAAAGTAAGGATCTAGATCGAATATAGCAGAATCCGGGGGGGAAACTGTCGGGATCGGGAGGGAACGTAGTCGGGATCCGGGCGGGGGGATATAGCCGGGATCCTGCGTGCATTGAGGGGGGCGGGGGAGGTATGGAGGCGCGCTAAGCCCGATCAGGAGCTGTAGCGGGGCCGCCGGGGCCGCCGACTAACTATGACGCGCCGCGCCCGATTCCGCCCGCCTCCGCCGCACCATTTGCGCCAGGCGATGAACTCCAGTCTAATAGACAAAACTAGGCAATTAGGGGGAGATTATAGGTATACAGACCCAAGATATAAGGCGAGTCGCTTCGAAAGAGCCTAGATATACTGCATATTAGTAAAGAGCCCCGTTCAGTAAAGAACCCCGTTCTACACGAGGGCATAGCCACGGGTAGATTGAGGTTAAGCAGAGCGGGTATTTTGGGTTGTTACGACGCGACATGCGACCGCATGCGCCTCTCACGTGTACCCCATCTTTTCCTCCAATCACTACGGTCGTGGTACAAAGGGCGACTGTGGCCGGTATGCGACTACACGATTCATTTCATAACCACTATATAGGAAGCCCAGCTTCACCATAGTCAATTTCTGCCTAGCTCCTTAGCTTTCAACACAATTATTTACGCACAGATTACTATCTACTGCACCAGACTGTGACCAGACCGCTCAAGTCCAACAACACCCTAGTGTACTCAGTTCATCAACCGACTTCTCTTCTACCTACCCGGTAGCTAGTCTGGACCGGAACATCACATATATAGACGAGCAAACGACTTGATTCGAAAGTGCCTGAGGGATAGTGAAGAACTCAACTATAGGCATTTATCGTTGCATTCTAGGGCATCTAATGCTAGGTCAAAAACAATGTTATAGCACTTCATTCTTGTATCAGTGCTTGCGTAGGCCTTCCGGGTACCGAAGCTTTTCTAGTAGATAAGCGATCAGTAGGCGGTCGCCAGTTTGTCGTCAGTTGCATCGGCGGTCCACGCCTAAAGCCCGTATCAAAGCAATAAGACCCAAAATACTTCAGGCTTCTCCATTCGACACCGCGGACCGTTAGAAATGTCGCAAGAGCAGCGTTAATATTACACTATCTAAAACATCCTCGGTAAGGAGCACTCAATTTAAACTACTGGCGAGGTAGACACCCAAACCTTGTCTCAGAAATCCATGAAACTCGTTAGAAATAGAAATAGAAATAAGCTCAGCCTCTCACGACGTTTCGGGCAACGTGGCCTTGGCCTGCAGATCGAGTCTTTCCATAATTTTGAGCAATAGAGCCTCGATATTGTTTGATGCAATACTAGTTGTCGTGAGCTCTTGTGGCTTGGGCGGTTGCACACTAGGCTTGGTATAACTATCCAACATCTCCTGTGTCTTCTTCCTTTCGTAGTTCTCGTAGGGTTCTCGTATGTCTGCCACTTTACCCCGCATCCACAGGGCTGGATGGTCGAACTCTGGATAGTCTATACCAAAGGCTTTGTAGAATGCCTTATCTTGCCAGTACTTGACGATGTAAATATGTGTATCGATACCCCAGTTGGAGGTTCCCATTTCTCTTTGAAACTCAAGAGCTTTCTCTAAACTTCCGAGACTAGCTAGGGTCTTGGTCTGATCTGCCGTAGGCCTAGCCTTCGATTCTATTTTCGCAGCTGTATCGTTGTACTTCGTTGTTTCGGTTTGGTCAAGAGGTTCCCTACAAACCTTTCGCAATGCAGAACGGGAAACCCAGTTTTTATATGTCCGATTCCCGTCATCCCATTGCGCTAGGACTAGTACAACTTGGTGTCTAGAAGCGCCACAAGTGTAAGGCGACACGAACTTCAGTGAGCTCAGAGGGTCGGGATTTCCATTGAATGCCATACTAGTGGCAACAGCCAAGATTTTGACATTCTTCGGGTCTATTGGCAATTTTCTGTTCTCTTCGAGAGCAAGCCACTCTGTAGTACCTTCTGACTTGGGTGAACGCTGGAGTCCAAAGGTCTGCGGCATTCCATCAGGGCCGACCTGAAGAAGTACTGTACGTCTGGAAGATAAATAAAGCAATCGCTTGGTCGGCCATCCTTCTGAAGGATTAAGGGCAGGTGTCTCTTGTCGGACACCCGAGAAGTCTCTGGGAATTTCCTCGGTCTCCTGGAGGCGTTGTGAGTTACGTATCGGTCGGACATTTGGAAACTTACGCCTCTCTTTGATCTGCCTTGGGACGAGTCGGACTCTGTGGACGACTCTCCTCCGTCCTCAGCATCTGAAAGACTGTAATCGCTTACCGGCGTAGAGCTTGTCTATGTGCTAAAGTCAGCCTTAGAATTCGAATAAAGCATGATTCCACCGACCGCTGGATTCATATCAGTGACCTCTTTGTCCTCCTCTTTGATCGGTTTCTACACTACAGTTAGTTAATGGTAAGAATTTGCACTAAGTTATATACCTTTTTCGCCGGAGCCATTTTGTTCTGGTGGTGGTAGTAAAAGCAGTATTCGTGGGTGAATAACCACGTTTATATGTAGCCAGCCTAGCACAAGGGGGCTTTCGTTCCGATGGTCAAACCGCTGCTAGTTTGAGCCCACATAGATCGGCCACTAATGGCGGGTGTTCCTGAGTTGTGGAAAACACGACACAGCTAATCAAGAATCACCACACAGTACAAGCCGTTATTGGAAGGGCATCCAGGGCTAACAATCTTTGATAGTCTGCCGTGAAGCCCCATTCCATGGCTGACCGGCATTGCGGTTTGGATGGCCTGTATAAATTGTCACTACGCTAAACTTGATAAGGCTTTCTTTGCCGCCCTCAATCACATGGTGCTAACTTGATATTGGACCAGGCGGAAAATAGACAACAGAAATTCACAATCTAAAGAAACCTGGCGTTAAGCGTTGGCTTTGGCGCTATTTATTTTCTCAAGGCCAATAGGTACCGCGGCAATTAACTTTTGAAGATGAAGATTATAAAGCCATACGGTGACCCAGGTCATCATGGATCATAATCATCAAATTCGATGGCGCCACAAACTATCAAACAAACGCCTCCCCAAACCTTGCTAACTGGAGCGCACTCAGATACGGGTGTTCTCAGTGACAGAGACGGAACGGACGATGGAAAAAGCAAGAAAAAGAGAACATCCGAAAAGGGTGATACCAAGGAAGGATTCAGTATCAACAAAGTGCTCGGTACCAAGAAAAAGGTCGACACCAAGGAAAAGGCCGATACCAATGAAGAAGTCGATGCCAAGGAAGAGGTCGACACCGAGAAAAAGGCCGATACCAAGGAAGAAGTCGATACCAAGGAAGAAGTCGATGCCAAGGAAGAAGTCGATGCCAAGGAAGAAGTCGATGCCAAGGAAGAAGTCGATGCCAAGGAAGAAGTCGATGCCAAGGAAGAAGTCGATGCCAAGG